TGTTAATATAAGGAGGTTTTTGGTAATTTTTTCACACATCGAGTTCCCCTAGAGGTAAAAGACCTCTCTTATTAAACTGTCAAACACCAAGCGGTCACCGGTGACCGCAACCTATTGTTCTATAATTGTGTCTACATAGACGGTACTCGACGAGTTAAATATAGCCTATGTTCATCATCGATAATTTAGGATTCCAATGGTTGAAAAATTTTTCAAATCGATCCGGTAGTTTCGGAGCCTATTAACTCGTCGAGTACCGGTTTTGTAGACACAATTATAGAACAATAGTTTGCGGTCACCGGTGACCGCTTGGTGTTTGACAGTTTAAATTCCATTTAAACAAATAAAACAAACAAAAATCACATCTTTCATCTTTACACTATTACTGTGGATAGCTTAGTAATAATAAGTAATAGATAACATACACAAGAAAAATATAAATATTGAACTTTTGTTCTCATTTATTATAGGATTTAACTGAAATACTTCTATTGGCGAATTTGGACCTCATGCCTAATGAATTATGCGGTAAGGTGCATCGCAGACGTATGGATCTATTTGTATGCACCTTTTCTTCGGTTACTGACGTCGGAAAGGTTCAGTTTATTTTTATATTACAATATTCATAGTTCTCAGCTCAGTTCAAAGCTCAAAGTCGCTCAGCGTGCGATGGAGAGAGCGATGCTCGGGGTTTCTTTGTGCGACAAAATCCGAAATATGGAAATTCGCCAAAGAACAAGAGTTACCGACATAGCTCGCAAAATCTGCAGACTGAAGTGGCAATGGGCAGGTCACGTCGCTCGAAGGACTGACGGCAGATGGGCCAGGAAAGTCCTTGAGTGGAGACCACGGATCGGAATACGAAGCGTGGGCAGGTCTCCCGCTAGGTGGACCGACGACATAGCCAGAGTTGCGGGGAGCCAGTGGATGCAGGTGGCGAGTTGTCGTTCGACGTGGAGGACTAAGGGGGAGGCCTTTGTCCAGCACTGGATTAAAACCTGTTATATGTATAGAGGAGATATGACCCTCCAATGATTATTATCCAATGAATATTTGTCCAAAAGTGGACAGTCACCGCTTGTTTATATACTTTTTTATCAATTGATGGTAAGCAATCGGCGTTGCCCATTGTGCAACACCAGTGAAATCACAAGTGTATTACCGGCCTTTTGGGGATACGGGATATATGGTTAACTGGGAAGGCATTTAAATGACGAGAAATACGCTAATCATTTTTTTTCCAGGGTGATTCTGGCGGTCCTCTTGTATGTAAAAATACAGGTGATCCAAATGAAAAAGACAAAGGAGTGTTAGTTGGTGTTGTCAGCGGCCACGCCAAAGGTCGAGGATCATTCTTTACTAGAGTATCCAAATACTATGGTTTTGTAACCAATGATTCTATATCAGTTTGCGCCTTGTCATATCATCTGAATGTATTTATTACTATAGCAATAGCAAAAATATACAAAACATTTTTATTCTGATGAGTTTTAATTTTACTATCCCATATTGAGCTCCCGTCCCAACAACAATATCCTGGCTTGTCTTGTTCGACCTTCAAGAAGTACCAAATCCGTTTAAGTTGATGTTTTACTGTATCTTTTGTACCTAAAGACTTCAAACTGAAATGATAAGGAATCCACGAGGAATTAAGCATTTCGATAAAGTAGTGTATTAGTCTTAGTTCTACCCAGTCCTTTTGCTTTTTGTTTTTTGACAGTTTCGGATAGTTGATAAGTTGTACTGGACATAGGCTGACACTTCTGCGCTTCTGCCATACCGCTTGCTCGTTCAGTTTTGAGACTGTGAGATATGAGATATAAGATATGAGATATGAGATATGAATCCTCTTGGCTTTATCAATTTTTACCACAGCCAAGCGGAAAATTAATGCGGAAATAACCAAATCATTTTTCAATCCATTTATTCAAACACATTTCCTCTCGACTAGTCTTTTCTCTGCGTTGGATATCAGGGATATCAGGCTTCAGCTCAATGCTTCCAATACTTATTAAATCATCAATCGACATAAAAAAAAAACTTTCGAAAAATAATTTCCTCTTTAGTGCTTATGCCAGAGTTTATATCACAAAAAAGTAAAGCATAGACAAAAAAGTCCAACAAATCAATAAAAATACTGAGGAACATTATGACATTTCAAATCAAAGTGTTCAAATCAATGAGTACGAATTAATAGTATTTCATGCTTTCAAAATGTTTGTTTTGCATCGTTCTATACATAACAGAATGCTTTACGCTGAACGAAACAACTCCGAATTCAGTAAATGGATCTGAGACAAGTACGGTAACTTCTGATCCAAATAAAGACATATGGATTCCTCGTGTGATCAATGGCATACCAGCTCAGTTAGGAGAAGTTCCTTACCAGGTAAGATATCCTTAGATTAGATTTATGATGATTAAAGCTATTCTATTCAAATGATTAAGCTAATCTATTCAATCATAAATTGCATAATGCCATTGGCAGGCTCAGGAGGAGATAGCAGAATGAAATTTCCTCTTCTGCAAATATAGGATCTGAGAAGATAGGATAAAGAGGTCTTTGGCTATCATAGGCCAGTCATAGTAATGTTAATAAAAAGATTCTTAAATCTGTACAAGTGGTAGACGTTAGATGCGAAGGTCTGAAGATCGAGCTTGTCAGCATACTATATCGGTGAGGCCTATGTGAAAAGTAGTGTACCCAAACGCTAAAGATGAAATCCACTGATTTTTAATTTTTCTTATTCAGCGGCTTATAGCAGTTTAATACCGGATACAAATACATACATACATACCTTTTATATCTTGTCACTTTAAAAAACTACCATATTTCAGGTGTCCTTAAAGAAACTTATGATAGACGATATTTACATGACTTTTTGTGGAGGATCTATAATTAGTGAACAGAAGGTATTAAGTGCTGCCCATTGCTTTGTGGAAAATGTACAAATTAGCATTTCACAAGAAGGGTAATACTTTAAATATTTGAAATTTAGTCATTCCTATAGGTATACCTTCATCAACGTATTTCTGTATTATATTATATACTTATACATACAAAAGTAAGTTTTATATCAATAGTAATATATTTAAAAGATTTATAATTTTACTATCATTGGTGACTTCGTGTATTTTAGCAAAAATATGTGAATCAGCTACGCTTCCATATGCACAATTTGACATTATATTAAAAAGAAAATCTTACAGTTTTTCACGATATAAAAAATTTTCACTTGAGTATATTTTCAAAACGTCTATTACTTTTGAAACATTTTTCAAAACATATTTATTGTTAATCTATTATTTTTTCAGGTACATTGGAACAAACATGCTATTGAACAAATGTGCTGTCGCTGGCTGTCTTCTGAATAAAGACAAATATACTGATAAAAATGATCGAGCACAATGGAGGATGCTAGCAAGCGCTAGATATCCCAAAAAATTCAACTTTCCCAATCATGATATAGCAGTTGTCGTGAGTATTTTGTATAACAAATCGTTATAATTTAACAATTTTGTATTCATTTTTGTGTTCTGTATGTCTATTTACCGTAAAAAAACAAGACGACTTTGCTGTGTATAATATATAATTCTTCTTCTTCCTTGTCGTTTCGTTCTTAGCAGAGCAGACGTGGTTACATTGAGGTGGCCATATTTGTGTTGGAGGCGAATACTTCTTCCATCACGATTTTCTGCCATCTCTGTTTGTGTATAGTCTAACACAGGGTTTCATATTGCTGATTTAACTTGGTCAGTCCATCGCATAGGTGATCTGCCTCGTGATCTGGTTCCCTGCACGACCAAGCTGTTCTGGAATATAAAAAATAATTTTCCTCACATGGCTCTTCCTGAGTAATGTATTTGAAATATTTTATCTCATCTTTTTCGGTCTTCTGTTATTTGGAGGGTTTTGCTAAAACTAATCCTGTTATGTTACACTAAGCAAAATGTATTTATTTTTCCAGTACGTCCGTACCCCATTCATTTATAATGACTATGTAGCTCCTATTCCAATTGCATCAAAAAATTTGGATTATCAAACGACGTGTTTGGCCTCAGGATACGGACGAACAAGCCATACTCAAAAGGTACATTAACTCAAACGAGAATAGAGGTAGCTTTCTAATGGTATTCGATTTGTTTCCTGATGAAAATGCTTCCTGATGAAAACTGCTATTCGAAGTGTGTAATATTCTGGCATGCTTAGTTGAAGCTTGTAAAATATAAAACATATTAAAAGTAGCATCCACTCTTCGCCTAACGTCTTGCCTAATATCAGTCCGGTGTCCAATCCAGATTCCAAGGTGCAAATATATATATTATTTAAACGATGAAATATTCAATTTTGCATATTTTGCCATCCCTAAAAATGCATTAGTAAGCGCTGCTCGCCGGTACAGTAAATATTCATGGATTTAAAACAGGTCATTTCTATAATACTATCACCGAACTTTTAATGTTTTCAACATTGCATTTCTTCTACGAATACTGTAAAATTAATAATGACAATATTTTTCCAGGGAGCTATTAGTAATATTCTCTTACTAGCACAGTTGGAACTGAACAAACAATCGACGTGCTCTGCATTGCTATTACGTTATACCGACAATTTTGTGTGCATTACTATACAAGCCTCAGATGTTGCAAAGGTTCGTCAAATACTGGTCGACTGAGGGTCTACGCATATAACAGATACGAGTAGCAACGATCTCTGATGAAAAACCTTTTAAGCTGCTATCTCTAACTGCCCTACCAAACGTGGATAAACCTTTTAAAGGGGCCCAGTCCATATTCTAGCAGTAGACTGTCACAATACACCTATTAATGATTTGTCAAAATATGCTAAGCAACTCAGATATACAAGTACAAATGACTCGGTGCCACAAAAATGTGACAAACCATTAAAGGGTCGAATGCAACTATATGCCGAATGTGACGATTGAGGCTACTTGGGACATTGGTTTAGTAGCCGACATTCTGGCTACTGATTATGATGATGATGATGATTATAAATTCCTAATTAAAATTTTACGTTTCCAGGGTGATTCTGGCGGTCCTTTAGTATGTAAAAATACAAATGATCCAAATGAAAAAGACAAAGGAGTGTTAGTTGGTGTCGTCAGTGGCCACAGCAAAGACCGAGGGTCATTCTTCACTAGAGTTTCCAAATACTACAATTTCGTAACCGACGACTTTCCTTCGGGTTCCTCGTCATCATACTACCTGGATACATTTACTCCTATAATGCTAACGATATTATACAAAACATTTTTATTCTGATGTGTTTTAATTTTACTGTTCCTTTTTTAAATCTTATTCCATAAATAATAAAAACAACCAATTTTTGCTATCGGTCAATTTTCGAAAACAATGCAAGAACCGTAGATGGATAGAACTTGGGAAATGGCAAGAATCATGGCAAGAATAAACGATACAACACGAAACTATGGATGTTGATTTGATGTCTTTGCACGAAACTTAAAAAAAAATTCCTCTTTGGTCCCAATAATAGTACCTACATAAAACCTTTACAGAATACAACACTCACCAAAGAGTAGATAGAGAGCATGAAGAAAATTTAACCAAATATTATGACATTTCAATTCATAAGTTTTCAAATTAATAGTATTTCATGCTTTTAAAATGTTTGTTTTGCATAGTTCTATACATAACAGAATGCTTTACGCTGAACCAAACAACTCCAAATTCAGTAAATGTATCTGAGACAAGTACGGAGGCTTCTGGTCCAAATACAGAAGTATGGGTCCCTCGTGTGATCAATGGTGCTCCAGCTAAGTTAGGGGAGGTTCCTTATCAGGTATCGAACTCCCTTAAAATTTTACACGTACAGCATCAGCATATCAACTCGGCCCCTACCGATATTGTGGCAGTTTATCGTCCCGATAACATCGTGTTAATATGATATTGTCTTCAAACATTTGAAATGTTTATAAAAGGAGATGAAAAGACCTTTGAACATCATAGGATAACCTTATAATAATATAGATAGGTACCTAAATCATATAAGTGGTCGTAGTTGAATATAAAGTCTAGAAGATCGAGCTTAGTAGAGTGATGTCAATGAAATGCATAGGTGTGCAAACAACCCAAGCAAAAGCAATCGACACCGCCTGCCCATGGACATCCGAAACACCAGAGGCCGATCGGAAGCTATTCAACTGTGCAAGCAATGACTGAATGATATTCATTAAATCTTATCATTTAAGTACTCATCATCACATAAGATTTACTTCTATTTTCCAGGTGGCCTTAAAGAAACTGTTGGAAGGCGATATCTATATGACTTTTTGTGGTGGATCCATAATCAGCAATAAGAAAGTGCTAACTGCTGCCCATTGCTTTGCGGAAATCATACACAGTAACAATTCACAGGCAAGGTAGTATTTCAATTCATTACAAATAGATTAAATATTTGTAACTTAGACATTTGCTGTAGAATTTTAAGAATATGTAGGCTCATTTTATTTTATTTAATATTTAAAGATGCTGATGAGAAAAATGAAGGTAACGAAATAGTCGTAGACTACATAACATACCATCACGCCTTTTATCCCCGAAGGGGTAGGCAGGGGTGCACACAGAGGTAACACACACTTTTCACTATTTATGTTATGAGTTCCATGTAATAGCGGGTGAGCCTATTACCATATACCGGGCACATTTCCAGACTCCGTGCTACTACTGAGATTTTTTTTTAAACTCAGTAACACTTTTCCGACCCGGGAATCGAACCGAGACCCCTTGCCTGGCAATCGCACTTGCGACCACTCGGCCATTGAAGCAGTCATATATAGTCGTAGACTAGTAATAAAATAAATTGACGTAACAACTCCACGTATAAAATCTGAGGCACTCTTTACCTGTAGATGATTCACAAATAAGATCGATGTCACAGAGTTAACCAGAAATTATCGCTTGATATAAAAAATTATTTTCAGTAATTTCAACTACTATAATAATATGTTTATTGACGAAAACTTACTGATAAACAAATGTGCTGTTGCTGGCTCTCTACTAAATAAAGACAAATACACTGGTAGTGACGTCCAAGCGCAATGGAGGACGCTGTCAAGCGTCAAATACCCCGAAGAATTCAGTTTTCCCAATTATGATATAGCAGTTGTTGTGAGTATTCTGTACCTTAAAGCTCTTTACGCGCGGTACTTAGACACGGTTGCCATAGCGGTTACCGTCTAGACGGTTTGTGTCGATAGACGCGGTTACCATAGCGTTGCATATTAAATTGGAAAAGCGGTCGACCGCAGGAAGCGGCTAGCCGCGCGGTTGACCGCTAGTGCGTAAGGGAGCTAAATTGAAAAAGCGGTCAACCGCAGGCAGCGGCTAGCCGCGTGGTTGATCGCTAGTGGGAAGAGAACTAAGTCGTCGTTTCTTTGTGCAGAATTTCGGAATGACATAATTCTTTAATTCTTCATACGGCATTAAAATTTTAAATGAAGACGTTCAGCGATTGTAGCTTTCGTGGTCCCCTACCTTACCAAACCGAAGGAAACATCTAAACAATTCAAAAATATTTCAGTATTATTTAGTCAAAAATGTATCAAGTCACCCTTAGAAAGACCAAGCGAATTTTTGTGTACGATTTTTGAATAGTCATTGTGAACCACCAATCCCCATCCTTATGGAATCGTTTTCATTGCTACTGAGGATCAGGATTTTACAAAGTATTTAGTCACGGGATACAATCCACCATCTTTCTTACATCATACCTAAAGTTTTTTTGCTAGTTTTGTGCTTTACATCTTATCTCCCCAAAGGGGTAGGCAGATGTGCACTTTACGGCACAATGTAACACATACTTTTCACTATTTATGTTATGAGTCCTATGTAATAGAAGGTGAGCCTTTTGCCATATACCGGGCACAATTCCAGACTCCGTGCTACTGCTGAAATTAAAAAAAAACAGTACTTAATATTTTTGTGCGCTATTACCAAATACAATAAAATATTTTTTTTTTATTTTTTGCAGTATCTACGTAAGCCATTTATTTATACTGACTACGTAAAACCAATTCCGATTCCATCAAAAGATTTGGAATATCATGGCACTTGTTTGGTCTCAGGGTATGGCAGAATAAGCCATACTAAAAAGGTAACAGCAGTTTAACTGTAAGAAGAATAGAGACGTCGTCTTTTTAATTAACGATTTTTTTTTCTGTTGGCAGTTCTGATAACAAGGACTATACTTGCTTTTGCATAGCTATGCGTTAATGAAGCGTAAAAATTGCATATCATGTTAAATGATAGACAATCACACATGCGCCTTCTAAACGAACGAAGCAGTCGAATGTCCAAGAATCCGATTTGCATGAATTATTCTTTCTAAAAAGAATTAATGGTGTAATTATTTTCCAGGAGGCAATCAGTAATATTCTGTTAACAGCACAGCTGGAAGTGATACAACAATCGACATGCTCTATATTGCAATTAAGTGCTAACAACGGTTTTGTGTGCACTAACACCCACACATCAGATGTTGCAAAGGTTTGTTATCATTCATTATCATTAATGATTAAACTGTCTTGGCGGCCTGGAGATTTAAGACACCCGCTTCTCATACACGAGGCCGCACCCTCGAAACCTACCAACGGCAAGTACCAATGTGACGTATTCCGATTTTCTAAGATTATTTAGACACCACTGACAAACGGTGAAGGAAAACATCGTGAGGAAACCTGTGCTTATAATTTCTAATTTTATATGTACTTTCTAAGATTATTTAGATAAACGGTGAAGGAAAACATCGGCTTACGGAAACGTGGGCTTATCATTCTTGATTATAAGTGCGAAATTGCCAAGCCGCATTGAGCAATCGTGGTGATTCATGTTTAAACCTTCACCGTGTGAGAAAAGGCCTTTGATCAGCAGTGGCCACTTATGGGCTGTTGATGTGATATGATTATCATTAATTTGTAGTGATGGGAATAATGTTAACTTCAAATGATATACCCATATCACCAGAGGAACAGTACTTTAAGTCGTATAAATTACTTATCTTTTGCAGGGTGATTCTGGCGGTCCTCTAGTTTGTAAAGGTACAGGAGACCCAAAAGAAACTAAGCAAGGACTATTAGTTGGTGTAATCAGTGGCCACGTGACATCGTCTTACTCATTCTTCAGTAAAGTTTCCAAATACCTCGATTTCATAAAAGATGACTTCGTGTCCTTCGCTCCGAAAAGACCAGTGAAAAAACCACCTCGTAAACGCAAGAACTCTTCTGCGTGTCTTCAAAAACCTTTATATCCACTTCTTGTTTTACCGCTTGTACATACTCACATACATACACATCTCTCCTTCGGTCCATGGAGATAGAAAGAAACCACAGAGCGCTACCTACCTTATAAAATCCTTAGAAGATACTGTAGGCGGAAGGTGGAGAAGAACTCTTATGACGCCCATTTATTATTTCTTACGAGCTTCGTTTTCGTTATTAAAATTTTAGACTAAACTGAAAGTATTTGCCCATTGAAGTTAATGTGTTAGTATATTAATTGAGCAAATAAAATTACTCTTGCAAGTTATTCCTGGTACTCTGTGTTCTCTTATTGGCATTTGTTGTAATTACAGAAATATGTGTTTAATTATTATTTACGTGTTTTATTATCTTAACATAAACCTGTTTAATATAATGCTATGCTATAAAATTAAATAAAACTATTGTTTATCATTGGAATCTCTGCCAGATGCTTCGCCAGCGTCCGTGGGATAAAAGCATCATATGCGTTATTCTCGACCATTATCTACCTCTGGTCCAAGTTTCACCCTGATCTCTTCAGCGGTTTTGACGGAATGAAATAACAAATAAGCAAACAAATATTTATTATATTAGTAAGACAAAAGAGAAGACGGTTTTTAAGGGGGGGGAAATGGAATGACTTCGCCCGCCTGGGTAAGGCGGGAGGGAGTGCTAGACTGACTAAAAACCATCCCGTTCTTACTACTGCATTTGGAGCCGGAGCCCCGGTAACCCGTTATAACCCGTTGTAGGTTCTCCGCGGCTCCGTATCGGCATCAGCCCTATTGAGCCCCATCTGTGGTGGTCTGAAGGCTCTTTGAGGCGTGCGCGGAACGCGACGCGCCACACGCTCGGGAAAAGAGAAGAGGTTGGGGAAGGTGACGATATTCGTAAAGTGGTTTGCAGTACTTGGATACGAAAGCTGAAAATTAAGCACTGTGATGTACTATTGAAAGACGTATATCTATCAACAAAAACAAACTGGTGATGATAATAAATGAATGATGATTGTTCGGATTTAGCAAGGTAACCTGTTCACGATTTTACATAGACGCTTTTGAAGATGCAATGATATAACCCAAAAAGACTTACTTAGGTACAAAATGTAAAGGCAGTTTTGATTATTTCAGAAAGCAACGCCTTTATTAAAACCTTTTCTAGAAGATTGATGGAATCTCTGGTATTTCGACCAAAAAGACATTTTTATGCAAATGCACAGACTATATTTTGCTACTATTATGACATTTAGGCCCCTCAGTCACGAGGCCTTTTCGTATAAATGCAAATACGACTAACGCTATCATGTTGTGTTAGTCGCATTTGCAGTACAGTATCGATGCCGTCGTGCCCGTGCTTCAATACATAGTATAAAACAAAGTCGCTTTCGCTGTATGTCCGTATGTATGCTTAGATCTTTAAAACTACGCAACGGATTTTGATGCGGTTTTTTTTAATAGATAGAGTGATTCTTAAGGAAGGTTTGTATTTATAATACATGCATATTGCACCCGTGCGAAGCCGGGGCGGGTCGCTAGTTATTGATAAAAATGCGCGACCGTGTCGTTTTTGTATTCAATATTATCGCTGCTTTCATTGCCTACACTACGGTTGGTTACGTAACCTAGTAGCACCAAAGACAACGTAACTAATATTGCCTCAACGGATTTCATCTTGCAACTTCACCAATCCAAGATATTTTAACTGAATGACGTTCGCATCGCAGGAGGTCTACTCCGGTTCCCGAATGCGAAGTTTCTGAATCTGGGCCCGCGGGCGAGCGACCACAGCTATTGCCCGCTTCGTGTCTATATTGATGTTCCGCGTGACAGCATCGTTAGAAAAAGTCGTCCTGGGATGAGGAGCCTTACTTCCTCATAATATCATCATTATGTATTGAAATGTCAATACATATTTTTGACACAAAGAGTATAATAAGTTTGACATTTCATGACATTTTATTGCAGTTACATTTCAAAAATAAACACAATAGAAAAATATATTTAATGATTATTAAATTCTTATTATATTTTATCATTTTATATCCAGAGGAATGTTACACAGAAGAAAATGCCACTTATGATGAAGATGAAATTTTCCAATATCCAGATAGTTTCTATGAAGATGACGACTTTACAGGTCGAAAAAATAATGAGATATGGGTTCCTCGTATAATGAATGGTGAACCAGCTAAATTAGGAGATATTCCTTATCAGGTATTTGAAGGTGATAGTGAATGGTGTGGAACTCAACCAGTTGACATTAATTACCATCAGCCCATATTCGTCCCCTGTTGGACATAGGCCTCTCCATTGGCACGCCACTGAGCTCGGTCGTCAGCTCTTCTCATCTAACCACTGCTAGCCACCTTGCAGATGTCGTCACTCCGCCTAGGTGGAGGGCGCCATACACTACATTTGCCTAGACGCGGTCCCCACTCTATAACACGTTTACCCCAACGGTTACCGGTTCTTCAGACAAATGTGACCAGCCCTCTGCCACTTCAGCTTACTGATCCTTATAATATATGTTGACACTCATTTCATTTAAAATTTTATTCCCTCTATTAACTAGAGCCGAGAAGAACCCCGGCTAAGGATAAATACAGGAGTGTTTAGATTTCTATGTATAAAGGTAAAAATGTAAACAACCGTGAGTGAACTTCGTCAATTAAATTTCCTTTAGTGCAAAGAAGCATAATGAAGAGGCTAGCCTAAGATCCTTAGACGTGGAAAACGTAAAAGGTTACCGGGGCTCCGACTCAAAGTACAAGAGTAGGAACTGGGTGGTTTTTAGTCAGTAAGAGTCTAAAACTCCCTCCCGCCTCACACAGGCGGGAGAGGTCATTCGATAATTTTTTCCCCTTAAAAAACCTAAGATCATTATTGTTATGATATATGATATGGAACCAATTACTGTTACAGGTATCACTGAAAAAATTAAAGAATGATGGTTTTTATAGAAGTTTTTGCGGTGCATCCATAATAGGAGAAAAGAAGATTCTTACTGCCGCACATTGCTTTTTGGGAAATAAACGGATTTCTGTTGTTTTAATGACAGGGTAATAACAACTGTTTTTTTTTAAATGCAAAATTAAAATGAAATCTTATCCTTGAACAGTACTTTATTGGGTAGTCATATTTTATGGATAGCAGGCCAATGAGTAAACGGATTATCTGATGGTAAACAATCGGCACCGCGCATGGACATATAAAACACCAAAGGTGTTAGTAGCGCAACACCAGTCTTTTGGGGGATAAGAGACCATCAGCTCGTTTGCGGACTTATCACGTAAATATATACGGTTTAGGGAGACAATAGGTTTTTTAAGGGTCTGCAAGGCCCAAAGTTTTGCAAGCGTGCGTAGGCCACAGTAACCGCTTTATTACCATCAGGTAGGCCGTGTCCTTTTTTGCCACCGTAGTAGTATAAAAAAACAAACTAAATAATTTTGTTTCAGAACGATTGATAAAGGTAGCTTAAGCGATATTTACGCAGTAGCTGGTAATCTAATGAATGAAGGTAAATACAGCTTGGACAATGATTTCGGCCAGTGGAGAAGTTTGTCAAGCGTCAGATACTCCAAACATTATAAAAGGCCTAAACATGATATAGCAGTTGCTGTGAGTATACTTATAAATTCACCAGAAATGGGCTGATGACGCATGTACAGAGAACAATGACACAAACATTTAATACACAGCGTTTAGTAATTTGAGAAAGTCGATGTAACTTTAATTTACAATAAGATGATGAATTGGCTAAGGCCCTTCGATAAGTAAAAGTACAGTACAACTGACTCCAAATATGTAAATTTTTGTCATAAAATTTTCAACTTTATATGTAAACAATAGAGTTGAAAATGTAATAAAGAAGTATGACAAAAATGAGAAGGTCATCTGGTACTGTACATCATTATCTTCGATTGGTCCATACATTTTGGGACATTATCTATTACTATTTTAGATCGTTATTCAAGTACCTGCAAGTCTTAGCTGCCCATAAAATCCATTAAATACTTGCCTTGTTTCAGTATTTAGATGACCCATACATATATAATAAATATATTGGCCCTATTCCAATTGCGACGAAAAATCAAGATTATAACAGTCTGTGCTTGGTTTCAGGGTACGGCAAAACAGGGCGAGACAAAAAGGTATCTATTGTACCGTACTCTGAAACCTACATTTATCACTCTTATTAAATAGAGGTTGAAGTATCACAACAAGATCTCTTTACCAATTACGACATAGTATCATTTTAATATATAGGTACATTTTACAAATAAAGGTTTTATTTCATTTCGTTAAAAAAATATCCCCATCAGTAGCTTAACTGAAGTAGAAATTCAATGTACAATGATTTCATACGGAAGACTTTATTATTTTACCGCAGGCTTCGTCATAACGCCCAACAGAACTGAGATTCTCCTTTCACCGATATCAAGTGTAAGATATCTCCTATCTCCGACATACATAATTAGAAAACTAAGTACGTACCCGAAAACAATGCTTTGAAATAACTTGAGAGTGCATGCCGCTCATGATTAGAAGTCCTTGTCGTGATTCGAAACTAGTCGAGCATCGAGCTCCAAGTATTACATTGTTAATTTATTAAATACTTCCCACTCCCGATAGTTTCAAATTACTTCTCCAACTCTGGATGAGGACGGAGAGAGTGATAGACTCTTGGACTAATAACCACGACGCTTCAACTCCTACTCTATACCGCCTCTAGCTCTATAGTCGGAATACTCAAACGTTACTCAATTTTAAGTTGCGCTTAAGTATAGTTCTGTCCCTAAAAATTCTTTGTAAAATGACAGAGATGGCACGATATTTAAGCACGACTTAAAATTGAGTAATGTTTCAGTATTCGGCATATGTTACTTAGACCTAATTCTTTATTTGCTACTATTAGTATAGCTCTTTTCTTTTTTTTTAGATTTCAAGTGAAATTCTTTTAAAAGGCTATTTGGAAATAATGACTTCGTTCGACTGCAGTGAACTGTACCACTACAACATGGAAACGTTTATATGTACTGCTGAAGAGTTCTCAGACACCGGAAGGGTTAGTTGGTATTTTATTGTGTTACTGTATTTTAATGCAGATATTACTCCATTTAAATATGAATTAATCTAGTACAGTAAAGTCGAGCGACTTTTATTTTTATTCATTTTTATTCATTCATATATATATTATATTCAATTTTATTTTAGTCCTAAGACTTTGGTACGACTTCGTAGTCCTAGAACAATAAAGTAATTTGGAAAGAATCTCAAATACCATAAAGGGTCGATAAATTTTTGTATTTGAAAGCGAACCATCTAATCAAATTTTTTGAGATTTTCAATACGTACTTTAAATATTTTTAACTCTAACTTTAGTAACTTATTGTCGTGTTTTTCAGGGTGATTCTGGTGGACCTCTAGTATGCACTAACACGAGTGATCCGAACGAAAGGGACATTGGAGTATTAGTTGGCATTGCAAGGTCTCACAGTCCAAACCGATCCTCTTTATTTGTCAGAGTCTCTAAATACTACAACTTCATAACTAAAGAAACGACTGCAGTTGTTGGGTACAACAAATACGGGTATCCATATTCTAGTTGTATTGCTCACAAACTTTACTTCTATTTGCTTGTTTTGCTACTATTTCTTATCATTGAAATATGAGTGTTAATTTATCAGATACAATTAGTTTTTTTTTCCTGCGCTGGGTGCTTACTCTTGAAATCAATCTCAATGTCAATGCAATTTCAATCCAATAAAATCTCAATAATTATTCAATGTGAAAACTATCGTAGCTGTTAAAATAGCGTTCAGAGTACGGAATATAAAGCCAAACTCAATACCATTTAGTTCATTAAATTTGCACGCAATACGGATGCAATGGGCGCTAGTGTTGAAACTCAAGAGATCGAAAATTTACAATACCAATGTCGATCGATCGGAAATGGATTCAAGAGTAAACCCCCTGGATGCTATTAATCAATAATTTTAAGATGATGACATCATTTTTCTCGACCTGAGGAGATTTGAATTACAGATCGCATATCATATTTCCAGTTGAATGTACCAATAAATTCAGAATGTATTTTGAATATTTTTGTACAGCAAAACGTTTTTATATAGATTGTACATAATACAAAGGTTTAAAAACAAACCAATGATTTTATTTCCAAAGATCTGTAACTTGTAGTATCACATAGGAAATTGTCACTTGATAACTTGATCTGAAGAAAAAATTTTTAGGATAATAAATGAAACATGTTTAAGTTTACAGTAACTAAAGAGTAACAGTTTTAATAGCACAATAACAATATACAAAGTACCATTATAAATTTGTTAACATGCAGGTCACAGCTGATGTCCGTCACCCATTTATTGAATAACCCAACACGCATGTGGAGGTTTGGAAGACCAACGTTGACGATGGTGGTCACAGCGACCAAAACACCTTGGTTCACGTCTACCTCCGCTGGATCCCCTGTTTCGTAGCACACTAATCCACCACCTTCAGTTTCCTGTAAATTTAAAAAACCATTATCGGTATATTTTCAGTTATCATCAGTGGCCACAGCTGGCCAAAAACGTTTTTCGCACAGAGAAGTTTTGAGCAATAATCACGACGCTTGCTCAATGCGATTGCGAAAGGCAATTTGAAACTTATAATTAGAAATTATTAGCCCAGGTTTCTCCATGATGTTTTTTTGAACCGTTTATCAGGATGTCTGATTGATGTTAGAAAGGACACACATATAATTCGGAAAAAAGTCATAATGGTGCTTGCCGTTGGTAGATCTATCCTTATTCAATTGCTCAGTGCAACCAGTTATGACTGACTGAAAGTTTCCCGAAGTGCTTCGACTTGACTCACAGGCTGTCGATAATAATGATGATACATTCATGACGCCTCTGGTAATGCAGGTGTTTATTGGTGCATGGACTACTTATAAAACTTTTTGCTGCCAAGTGTCTTGCTTTAACGTTTTTATGGCACGGAATGGAAAACAAGCAGACGTATCACCTAATGGCAAGCAACTGACGCCGCTTATGTACACTTCCATCACCAGGTAAGTAACAAGCGTGTTGCACGTTTTTGAGTATGAGGAATTTGGGGATTAGAATGTTACATTTATTTGGTAGTGATGTAATATGTCTTCAAAATCATTCATTAGGAAACTAGTTAGGTTATGAAAGATGTGATATAATGTAAATTAAAAAAAAACTCACAGAGTACGCGTGCTGGTTCCGATTATCAAATATAGTGCACATAAATAGTCTGCAACTTCTACACAGAAGCTGTTCGCATTCTTCTCTTTGCATCATTTCAACCTCTTCGGTATATAAATATCTAACTGCTGACCAGCTCTGAAACACGACAAAATCACTATTCTATCAGCGACTTTTACTAGCAACCCGGCCCGGCTTCGTACAGGTGCAATATACGTATATTATACATATAAAAATCTTCCATAAGAATCATTCTATCTATTAAAAAAACTGCATCAAAATCCGTTGCGTAGTTTTAAAGATCTAAGCATACATAGGGATAGACAGACAGCGGATAGCGACTTTATTTTATACTATGTAGTGATATGTAGTGAGGATACATACAATAAGATATTTAAATCACTTGATAGGTACTACTCATCTACCACTTTCCTAAAATCACTTCAAAACTTACTCTCGTAGCCTTCACAGCGGTTGCCGTACAAACTCCATCAAAATCTTGGTCTATACTCGCATACGGTATTTTATTGATAAACTTATTGAAAACCCATGGTTTATTTAATTTCTGTAAATAGTAACATACGAACTAGTTAACGTTTGTTGCTCGTATTGCTCTTTAGGCGCTAACATTTGTACAAATATTGACGAACAAGTTAACATTTGTTGCTTGTATTGCTCTTTAGGCGCTAACATTAATTACAAATATTGACGAACAAGTTAACATTTGTTGCTTGTATTGCTCTTTAGGCGCTAACATTAATTACAAATATTGACGAACAAGTTAACATTTGTTGCTTGTATTGCTCTTTAGGCGCTAACATTAATTACAAATATTGACGAATAAGTTAACATTTGTTGCTTGTATTGCTCTTTAGGCGCTAACACTAACTACACATTTTGTTTTACATCTGTTTTATTTAACCTTTCGAGTGTCTACACGCGAGACACAATGTATTTTCTATTGTCTCATACCGGTGCATTCAATAAGTAAAAAAAAAGTTTCTCTATGATAGATATTAATAAAACGTTATACACGTGAATATTAATTATTAGCGGACTTACAGATCCCTCGTTGCTGTACACCCGTGCGAAATATTGCTCAAGTGCTAAATCATTTACGAAGCACGCAAATGTTTTCGACTCCACATTATTATGTACAACAATTATATCATTGAAAACTGCACGGTTGGTGCGGTGGCTGGGCAACTGGCTGTCGCGCAACGTGTCGCGGGTGCGATTCCCGCACGGAACAATTCTCTGTGTGATCCACAGATTGTTGTTCCGGGTCTGGGTGTCATGTGTATGTGAACTTGTATGTTTGTAAACGCAACCACGACACAGGAGAAAATCCTAAGGTTTTTAAAACAAAAAAGACAAGATCTTACAACAACAGCAAGGTTGAAAGCGGGAAATCTGTAGAATTTCTGCGTATACACATGCTTCAAAGATCGCCATTGTTCATAGTCTTCATTCACTGGTGGCTTGCCCAGAGTCTTGAGAATACCGGCCACAAATCGAACCTGTTCAAACTTATGTCTTTGGCTAAAAAGATAATATTTATTTACATTTCACATCATAAACTAGTGTAGTACCTATTAAAACACTACAAATTAAATTAAATTAAAGTACAGGAGAGCCATGCTTCGGCACGAATAGACCAGCTCGACAGGAAGATACCACGGCCTCACAGAAAACCTACGCGAAATAACTTTTGCATTGTGTTTCGCCGTGTAAGGTAACTGGAGGCCCAATTACCTCCCACCTAATCTCCTCCATCCTCAATAGTCAAATCTGTGACTTCCCAAAAGGTCGGCAACGCACTTATAATACCTTTTTTGAGGGGGGGGGGGAATCGTCCTATGACTTCTCCCGCCTTGGGTTTGGTGAGAGGGAGTGTCAGACTCTTACTGTCTAAAAACCACCCCGTTCCTACTCCTGCTTTTCGAGCCGGAGCCCCGGTAACCCGTTAGGCCTCCCGCTGCTCCGTATCGCGCATCAGTCCTATTGGGCCCCATCTGTGGTGGTCTGATGGCTCTTTGTGCGTACGCACTGGCACTTATACCAACTATGTTTTGTTTTCGGCTTACTCACGTAACTGTTTGACGAGGAACTGGACAAGTTTCAAGCTATGCTAGAGACTCATATTCATGAGCAGCATTCCGCGAGACGCGACGCGGCATCTGTCGCGCTACTACTGATATTATTGTTATAACACCTCTGATGTTTCGGGTGTCCGAGGGCGACAAAATTCTAAAAACTTACTTTTTTCTATTAGTGAAGAAGCAGTTAGTCGATGTCAGTACCCTGTCTTCACTGATAATGCTGCCGGCACAAAACGCTCGATACAGTGAGTTATATTTATCATACAATCGGAAGATAAGGACCTAAAAGAAAATCTTGCAATGCATTCTAGTCTTATGTCCAAATACTCAAACGCCACTCAATTTTAAAAAGCGCTTAAGTATAGGTTTCTCAAATTTTTTTAATGAGGCGCGATATTTAAGTAGAACTCAAATTGAGTAGGCTTTTAGCATTCCAGCGATAGACCCAATATGCTGGCAGAGGGTTCATAATCACACATAATATTTCTTAATATCTTATCTATTAGTACAATAACTGACTGTCAATAACAAAACATTGAGGAAAACACGTTTAGAAAACTTCATGCTTCCACGAGATATGGCCAATTTAACCCATTCCTCCTTGCTAACCAAATAGGCGAAATACACTATCTAAATAAAACAGAGAGAAGCAAACCACTTCACAAGAGGACGGCTCCTCCCCATCAGTATAAACTTTGAGTCTCAGAGTCACTTTTAAATACTAAGTAACCCCTGGTCGAGGACCAAATGGGCGGTAATAATAGGTTAAACCCAGCACTTCTTATAATTGTTATGTATACCACTGTGTGAAGAGAATTCGGCAAAAGGCTACAAAAGATCCCTCCTCGAAAATGTACCAAAAATACATATCAAATGCAATTGTAAAAATTCTATTCCATTCCATTCCACATTCCATTCCATTCCATTCCATTCCACATTCCATTCCGCATTCCATTCCATTCCATTCCATTCCACATTCCATTCCATTCCATTCCATTCCATTCAATTCTAATGAAATGAAACATTTTAAATAACGTGGTAAATGAATAGCTGATAAACTATTAGCCTTAAAAATTCTTACATGATGCGGCCACTCCCCAGATTTAACTTCATTACCAAAGTTTGTGCGTAGTCTATTGTGGCGGCTCTGAAATGATCATATATGATATAACATCACGCATTTTATCCTCGAAGAAGTAGACAGAGGTACACATTGCGGAACTTAGTGCCACGGTACAATGTAACTTCCACTTTTCACTATTTATGTTATGAGTCCCATTCCCATGTAATAGGGGGTGAGCCTATTAAATATGAATTCTGAGTTATATGTACTTTCTAAAATTATTTAGATATCACTGACAAACGATGAAGGAAAACACCGTGAGAAAACCTGGGCTTATAATTTCTAATTATAAGTTTGAAATCGCCAACCCGCATTGAGCAAGCGTGGTGATTAATGCTCAAACCTTCTTCATGTAAGAAGAGGCTTTGCTCAGCAGTGGGCATTTATAGGCTGTTGATGTGATGTGTGTGATACACTGGAATACTTCCTTCTATGACTATGACTTAAATCAGACTAATCTGGATCCACTACAGCTCAAATTCAGAGACATGCACTTTGATAATGTGAAGAACTCGAAAACTAAGTAGGACATTACATAAATTACCTAAAACTGAAACTTTCCCTTTTCGACTTCAAGTACTACACGTGTACAATTACTTTATTATTTATTTATTTTCAACCATGTTCGCCCCACTGCTGGGCAAAGGCCTTCCTACTCTCCTTCCACTCCAGAAGGCCCGCGCCCAAAAGGAGATGGCGGGACGAACTCAACATCTATGACACGGATTGGCCGCAAAAGACTTTACATAGAAAGGAGTAAAACTAGTTTATACGTAAATAAATTAATAATATAACCTTACCCTCAACAGTTCATTGGTTACATTTTCATAACTTATAACTATGCAAGTACATAATACAATAATGATTCCGAAAAAAGACCCGCCGGAAGTCACTTTTGGAGATTTTAGCAAGCGCTCGTATGAAACGTTTTTATCGATACATGTAAAATGCGATAAAGAATAACATTTACATTGCAAATAATGTTTACACAAAAAATAAGAACGCTGCGAGTGACATTTTTGACAAACACTGATCCAAAGAGTCTAATAAGTATAGGGGGGTACAGTGATCTGAAGAACTGACGACAACGGTTGCCTCATTATAATATAATCAAACTTTTTTATCAAGAAGTAGTTTGTATTAAAAAAACAACGCGTGTATGGTGTCGGCACTACTTATTAATTATACTCTTTAGGTGTCAGTACGCAACGAAAATCTACAGAATACTCGATGTAGTCTAATTCTCGCTACGCACCTTACGATTTTAAGATTTTAAGGCTAAGGAATCACGACACGATCTTCTCTGATCTTCACGATCGCAACCACCGCGGGCGTAAAACGCGACGTGAAAGCTTTGATTTTTTTTTACATATTACATATCTGTATTCTATAAAGGTTGTGGACCCACAACCGCGACGGACGCAGGGGAAAATCGTGAATCCTTAGCCTAACTGTACAGTTACAGTCTACAGTTCAATTTTAGACCCATTCAGGAACACACTTTGAAGATAGGGATATAGATGATAGGGATGAAGATGTAATTTTATGTGGTCTATATACTGAGATAACTTATGCCATAAGAGAATACACCATACCAAGTCGAAATTTCTTTAAAAGACATGTTCATTCATTTAGTTGTTTCATCAGTTCCTTGCCTAATTAGTCTGCCTAAACTTTGTTATTTGTTCGTAATTAAAGGTCATTTAAAAATAAATTATTTTATTCATAAATAATTAAAATTATACAAATGCAACATTTTAAAATTTCATGCGACATCTACATTCATAGACTAAAATCATAAAAACAGATAAACAAGTACAGCTGTGTTGCTAACCACATGAGTACCTAATATATTCCCTTTAAAATAATCTAAGGAATTTAATCGAAAAACTATTTTTATTATTAAAAACAGTTATCCAAAACCTTCATTTAATTTCAAATAAATTAATTCTAATTCTAAATATCACAATAAACATCACTGTTTGTAGTTTAAGGCTTTGCCTATTCGCCTTTTGTATTTTTTAAATCCTCTGGCGTATCCACATCTTCTAATCCCCATAGATTAGTTCCATCACCAGTTCTTTTAGACCTTTGTTTTATCATTTCTTTCGAAACAGTCTTTAGATCATATGCCCATCCGATCCACGCAAAGAAATCAATGAATTTCGTAGTGAAATTCAAACAGTTATTTCCGAGTTCAGCTGCGCGATAATCCCATGGAAATACATGATGATAATTATGGAAACCTTCCCCAAAGGTTGCTATGGACACAGCTATGTTTTGAGATGGTAGAATCTTCTTGTCATAAGGTCTCTTTCCATATATGTGAGCAGCGCTGTTGACCAGGAAGGTGACGTTAAGGTTCATAATGTACCGCAGCATGGCGACGTGCCAGGCATTAGTCCAGGTTTCTCCCCAACCGTAAACCGGTATCAATGTTGGTAAGGCGAAGCAAACTGCCCCGATGAAAGGAATTGCGTACCTGAGAAAGTAATTAACATGTTGTCAAGAATGATGTACGTTTTTAAAATTTTGTTTTATAAATGTCCCTACAATAAAAGAAAAAGTAATAGCGAATTCAAAAGAAATTTGACTACCAAAAATTGAAGCTAAATAACTGACTTTAATTACTTTTATATGTTTTATAACCAAGAATTTTCAAAGCTTACTTCTTCTGGAACCTCAGTACAGGATTGTTGTAAATATCAGATATATCAATTTCCTTTCCTCGTTTCTTGACATCAGGGTGTTTCCTCACAAACAGCCAACCGATGTGCGAATAGAAAAATCCTCGGGAGGCATTATGGGGATCGGCATCAGTGTCGCTATACTTGTGATGGAGTCGATGGTCTCTCACCCAATCAATGGCTGTGTTTTGAAACGCAAGGGAATTCATCACCATTAGCAGAATTTGTAAAGGTAGTTTTGCTTTGTAAGTTTTATGCGACCAAAGTCTGTGGGCGCCAGCCGTGACTCCTACTTCTGCTACGACGAATAGAAAGAATGCTGAAAATAATAAACTATTGTTAAAAAAAATAATTTTCACCAAACTATGCATCCAAAAATCCCTTCTTTATTTATTTCTTCATTATTTCTTTATTAATTTATTTAGTAGTAAGTATATAAAAATAATTACAATATGCTCCCACTACAGGTCGGCTCCTATTTTTAAATATTATTCTTTTTTGTAAGTTGTATTTAAAATTGAACTTATTAGAAAATTTTGAAGAAATATGTGGGTATAACAATAATCTTAGTCTTCTGACTTCTGAAAGTAGGTTGTGATTAAATATTGACTTAGTAGCACTTCAAGAATGCCTTGTTCGTCGAGCACTTGACGGACGTAGTCCGATTACTACGAGTGGGACAGGAGACTAATATCAACAAAAGTTAATGTTGAAAACTTACAGAATAAAATTGTCGCCCATTTCGCTGAAGTGAAACACAAATAAAGGCCATATAGTCCAGCTATATGCCAGTAAGCGAAGCTGACGAGATTAAAATACACAATTTCAAACTTCCTCTTCCCCGCTTGAGGTACCAGCAAAGTTACTGTTTTCTCTTCTTTTTGTTCCAAAATCGTTGTTGTTTGTACACATTGCGCCATTTTTACAAGCCTTTTTCACTTCTGAAACAAAGCACAGTAGGTATTGTAAAAACACTTTCCAATAATTGGGTAGTTGCCTGGGTCAAAAATAAATTCTGTTTATTTTTAGTCCAATTAAATATTCAAAAATAGTTCCACTTTCATTCATTGCTTTGCTGATATACTTAATGTTCGATCTATTGTAGCAATTTTTTAAATATAAGTGTGCTATTTAAAGCGAAAATATGATGGCGTCATAAGATGATATTTCGTACAATATTCATAGAACAGTATCGTTTTTGACGTTTCGATAAAAGTATTGAATTTGACTAGTTGTCAACTACGTACTGTATTATAAAAACTGCACTTATATGGGTTTAACTGTTTAGGAACTAACGATGTCACAGGTGGACAGACATAGAGATGTAATTACCTATGTACCAGCATGGAATTGATTATACAGGGTGTAAACGGAACACTCCCGAAACGCCCGACCAAAAGATATTGTTTTTACAATAGGGTAAATGACTAATTTTATCTTAATGTCCGTCTGGTAGATTCTTTTAAAACAATACACACGTATTTTTTATTTTTTTACAGAAACTAATACTTTCGACGATATATTGATTTGAAATGTCGCGTGACGTCACTTCTATGAAAATTTTATACGTAGAAATGACGTTTTAGCCCCCACTCCTAAACTTTGATTCGTTATATCTAAGTATCATTTTATTATACAACAAAATAATAAAATACGTGTCTAATATTTTTTCATTACCTAATTGACGGACTAATTAGAATTTCATACCCTGTCATCATCCCCATTTTAATAGCTTTTGTTTTCATCGTATTCATGCAACATCAGCTTTGAGCAGTTGATTAGAATTTTTTTTTAAACTTTGCCCCACGCTAGGATTATCTCCTGTGTCGTGAGTACGTTTACAAACATACAAGTTGACATACACATGACACCCAGACCCGGAACAACAATCTGTGGATCACACAAAGAGTTGTTCCGTGCGGGAATAAAACCCGTAACACGTTGCACGGCAGCCGGTTGCCCAGCCACCGTACCAACCGTGCAGTCAATATAATTATTACATAAAACAAACATTAATTCCCTTACTTTTACGCAAATAGAAGTTATTTTTTACCATCACCTGTCGGCTTTTTTCGGGAGCCGTATATTTACACCCTGTATTTATTAGTTTTGACATTGTTGAGTAGGTTGGTTTTTATTAATAGTATGACATTGTTTTATTTTTTTATTGATTTTTATTGTTATTTATTTTCCCGAAATTGTTTTGTATTATTACCTCTAATTACTCTGGTTGTGTGGACTATGTCTGACATTAAATGAATTATTATTATTAATATAGATATAATGTGAAAAAGGTTCTGTGACCAGCATGGGACAAAATTATTGTAAAAATCTTGGATGGGGGCTGGGCTACCCGCTCATAAGGCGAAGCCGAAGTCATCATTATTATCAACAGCATAACAGTGACAACTGCTGAGTAAAACCTCTTCTCACACGGAGAAGGTTTGGACATTAATCACCACGCTTGCTCAATGCAGGTTGGCGATTTAAAACTTATAATTCAAAATTATAAGCCCGGGTTTCCTCACGATGATTTGCTTCACCGTTTGTCAGTGGTGTCTAAATAATCTTAGGCAGGGCAGAAATTTCCAAATTGTATATTAATAGCACAATTTCAGATGTTTTCTCGGTTTATTTAATATAACGTGACTTAAGCCCTTATCAAAGTAAACGTAACAGTCGAAAAGTTGGCATACTGCCGGCACTTTCTGGAATAACATGCTTAATGTTACGTTCAAGTTGATGTATAGGTAAGCACGAACGTAAGCAGTAGCTGGCAGTCAATGATGTAAAACAAATTGCATGTCAAGTCTTAATAAAAGGAATTATAAATATTTAATAACGATACTGAACACTTATAAAATCACTAGCTGTTACCCGCGACTTTGGATGAAAAAAGTAGCTCATATCACTTTTCTTATCTATTTTCAGACACTTAAATCATATTTTAAAGTTGCACAAAGAAACTCAAACACAATTGCGTATAAATATTTGTTACGAAACATTTATTATTTTAGTAGCGAAGGGATAACCAACAATTCGCTAGTTCTATTTAAGTCCAATAGTAAAAAACGGCGCTAGGAGCGCCTACAGCCCCGAACACGAGCCAAACTCACTACCACTGCTAATTTTTAATTATGATATATATATATATAACTTACATGTTAATACCGATATAAGTGACTACCTTAACACCGAGAGATAAGACTGAAAATGAAGGCCAACTCCACGGGCCGATCCTTTTAAAGTCTCATTAGGAGGCACTTTACTCTTTACTCGCTTCACTACGAAACAGCTGTAATTCATGTTTATGGAAAATTTGCGTTCATAAAAAAACATTTTTAATAATATCTTAATGCCATGTCGCTTCATTAGACTCCTATTGCAAAAGAGACTCAACTTAATCATTAATAGACAAAGGTATCTTTTATATTAACATGTCTTTTACAATATTAATTTATTGTATTACATAAGATGTGTCATTATTCATCCACTATTGTATTCTATTTAAAAAATACGTGGACCTCATATATCTGATTAGTAAACGATTATTTTTATTTCAAATCGCATTACCTACTCCATGATTCGCTGTCCGTCTAATACGATTGTTCTTTAATATAAAAAGTTTCAATGTTTTAATAACCAATCTATCTAGAAATTTGGTTACTAGAGATCATTTGTCAAGAAATTGTAAGCAAATTTACGGGTATTTTTTTAAAACTAGCCGTTAATGTCATATATGGCAATATGATGAAAGGTTATTAAACTGTCATACACCAAGCGGTCACCGGTGACCGCAACCTATTGTTCTATAATTGTGTCTACAAAACCGGTACTCGACGAGTTAAAGGAGAACGGCGGGCTTGTATTAGAGTTCAGAGGCCTTAGTACGAGTTTCTTTTACGTTTAAAGTATTCGAAACGAGTACGCGTTCGGCGCTGTGATTGGCCGGTGCCAATGAACAACCAATCCAAGCGCCGAACGCGTACTCGTTTCGAATACTTTTAACGTAAAACTAACTTTTACTAAGGCCTCAACAACATTGATGGCCCGATGTTGCCCGTACGTATTTAATAATTTTAATCAATTTTAAGTTAGTTTAAACTGTCAGTTTAAAATGTTTTGAGATAGATTAGTTAGTTTGTGTTACGATGGAGCTGACGTAGCGTATAGATTAAAAGCCTCTTAAATAACATAGAATTTAAAAAAATGTTTTACATATTAGGTTTCGGTCAAAAATCTTTTGATGGAAACACTAATAAATTAATTATTCATGCATATTAATTATATGCACATAATAATATGTACCTAGTAGGTATTCTCTTTGTCAAAAATATTTAATGAATAATTGATAACGAATTGTTCTTTTTTATTATTTAAATGTTTCAAATAATTTATGTATGTGACTTCTTATAAGTAATTATATAATTAGAATAAGTTATTCATGCAATTATTTTTATTTTAACAGAAATTGCTGTAGTTTTTTTAGTGTAAAAATCAGTCGGAAGAATGATGAAAACTCTCTTGTATTTATTTTTGTCAATATGTTAAATAGGACTGCCTCATTGGCCGAGTGGTCGCAAGTGCGACTGCCGGGCAAGGGGTCTCGGGTTCGGTTCCCGGGTTGGGCAAAGTACTACTGGGTTTATAAAAAAAATCCCAGTAATAATAGCACGGAGTTTGGAATAGTGCCGTTTTATATATGGCAATAGAATCACCCCCTGGGTGGGTGGCTGGGTTACATGGGACTCATAACATAAATAGTGAAAAACGGGTGTTACATACATTGTACAATGACATTAAGTGCCGTAATGTGCACCTCTGCCTACCTGGGGAAGAAAGGCGTCATATTATGTTCTGTCTGAAATAGGAAAGCTCATTATTCACTCGAGGACCACTATAACTTGAACTATATCTACCTACTTAAGAAGACCAGAATCCGACATTTCACTTGGCGGTTTGGTATGGAAATTGTAGTTTAAAAAGGTTTATTTTATTCGAGTCGCGCTGCTGCCCGGTCTCTGTTAAATATGTAGTCTCTTAATCTTGTAATACCCGCAAGAAGTATTATTATTAGGGCAGTAACACATGTTCTTCTCTATCGTCTACTGTTAAATTTACAAATTGGAATGCGAATATGGTGACGTCATTTACGTACCTTTTTCTGATGACGAGGCGAAGCCTTCAAAAGGCGCCTAACCTAGAGGAGAAAGACTACAGTGGCCATATTCAACACCTGGTGAGTCCTCTATAAGAGACCTGCTTTGGAGCCCCCACGGTGCAATGCCTGTTTACGGCCCATCGCTAGGGAGACGAGTATCTGGCTTAACCGTCTGCAGCTGACATGTAGTCCCACAGACACCGCGAAATACAAAATCACGTGTTATACCGTCATTTTTCAAATACGAGCATCACTGCTGCGAGTACCTTACTGTATAGTGCTCGCTATGGCGCTAGTGGCCCCTATCATTTACGTACCTACTTGTCACTTGAAAATCTACACGCTCACGTCTTTCAAGTTCCATTAAACGATTTCAAGCTGGTTTTCCTATCAATAAAGAGCGCATCGTATCATTTACTTACGCATTCTTAATCAAGTAAAACACTAAATTAAGATAATGTTTATGTATATAGATATTGAACTTAAGTACTCAAAATATTGAGGTCAAAGTTATTTGACGTCATACAAATTGAATTAACTTTAAAAATACCTACTATTAATAACAATTTCGTCTCTACTATATAAATAACCTAAATATAGAATAGATTATCTTATACTTATTTTATACTAGCTGTTGCCCGCGACTTCTTCCGCGTAGAATATGATTCCTGTTTTATCGCATCGAAACTTTTACATTTATAATATTAGTGTGATAAAGTATGTGACTGCCTCATTGGCCGCATTAAATTCCCGGGCAAAGTATTACTGGTTTTTTTTTCAATCAATTCTCAGTAGTAGCACGGAGTCTGGAAATGTGCCCGTTATACGGCAATAGGTTCACCCCCTTTTACATGGGACTCATAACATAAATGGTGAAAAGTAGGTGTTACATTGTACAGTGGCATTAAGTGCCGTAATGTGCACCTCTGCCTACACCTTCAGGGATAAAAGGCGTGATGTTATGTTTACTTTTTGTAGTTTGTGACCTATACTTATTTATACTCTTTGATTGTAATACTCGACGTTGAGACCTAGTAAAATTCAACTTTGAAATATTTCCAACTAAATCTAGTTATCCTCTCCTTTCACGAAACCCCTAACAATTTACTTATAATGTTTTTATAATAACTATCGTGAGACATACTAAATTAAGTAAAAACGCGGGTTACTGACGTGAATATACTGAGAAAAGCTCTACTAGTTTCGAACCACAGAGGGGTTCTTCCTCATGAGCACCGTGCACGGTCGCGGCGACGTCGCGCAGCTCACTCACAGAGCTTTTCTTAGTATATTCACGTGAGTAACCCGCGTTTTTACTTAATTTCCTTATAATATTCAATACTCTTCCGTGCAAGATTATGTCATTTCTTCGATGCAATACAATCATAACTACATTATTTACAACATTATTTCTGTTGTAGTATTAACCGTAAACATTAGCGTATGTTGTATAAAAACATTACTTATAATAGAATGTCAACATTAGACACGACTCTGATGTGCATATTTTAATAATAAACAAAAAATATTAGCAGGTATGTCAGACCCTATAAATAGTTTGTCAATTGTTATTTCTAACTGTTTACGTTAGGTACTCCATAATCCTAGCGAACTTCGAACCGTATTAAAATTAATATGACAGTCAAAAAAATAATATCAATATGACAGACAACAAAATATTTGCCTGACTGCACGGTTGGCGCGGTCGTTGGGCAACTGACTGCCGCGCAACGTGCGGCGGGTTCAATTCCCGCACGGAACAACTCTTTGTGTGATCCACAGATTGTTGTTCCGGGGCTGGGTGGCATGTGTATGTGAACTTGTATGTTTGTAAACGTACCCACGACACAGGAAAAAATCCTAGTGTAACGTGCAGACAAAAAAAAAGGAAGGGAAAATTCATTATCGTCATTTGAGATCTTTTACCGATGTTCGAACAGTTATGCTGTTGTTGCCTAGAAATTAGGTAGGTATATTATGTAAATCAAAAGTCATGCTGGCTTTGATGGAGTTTTACATAATAAGTTATATTATAACTGACAGCTCTTTTTCATACCATAATAGGTAAGTACGTCGAAAGCTAGGTTAGGTCACTAGCTAGAGAACAGCAAGTTGTTCAGGCCGCTAGTTGAACGGTTCATAGGGATAGTGACAAACACATCCCATTGTAATCCCCAAAAAAAACCGTGTTGTGTTTTGATGTTGTTCTAAACCTAATCTTATATTTCTATTTCATTTAATACTAGCTCCTCGTATCTCTTTCTTTATTACTAAGGTCCAGAAGTATAGTTTCAAAAATAAACTTCTTACAGGTAATAATTAGGGTTGCCAACCGTACTCTAAAATAGACTGACTGCGAAGTGGCGAGAAGGGAGAAACAAAGTTTCATTGAAATTGAACAGAAATTATATCTTGATGTACCTATATAAATTTAGAATTGGAATGTTTGGACTCATACAATTCCTTAGAAACAATGAAAAATTGTTATGTATGTACTTCAAAAAGTACAAAAAAAAAATACCTTTGTAAAAGTACAAAATAAATGACATTCGTTTTTGTAAGTCCGTACTCTTTAGAGGTATTTGCCTCCTATAAAAACCGATATAGTACTCTATTTTTTTTAAAAAAAAGTTGGCAACTCTTGTAATAATACCTATACTGTACGGTTGGCGTCATAGAACCACGGAATATAGAATACAATCTATATTCCGTGCATAGAACATATAAAGAAGGTTTGTGCAGGACCTTTTTCTAAAATCACTATTAAAGGATTAGTTGAATTAATGCTTTGACTTGTAATTCTGAATTCGATTCACAAAAAACAAATGTCGCGTTTTGCTATCCCAATCTCATCATTACCATCTCTAGGTAAATCAAGACAGATATTAAGGTATTCATCCTAATGTTCCTAACAAAAACTCAATGATGATGACAGTAGTTACCTGCATCATAAAGAAAATATGTAAAAAAATCCAACTTCTTCGTTGGTCGAGTAGTTGAAACAAGTACGAGTAATCTTCGTTGCTTGAGTACTTAGTCGGAGCAAGGAGCCTAAGGTAAAGTTATCTTAGGCTTTAGTACGAGTTAGTTTTACGTTTAAAGTATTCGTAACGAGTACGCGTTCGGCGCTGTGATTGGTTGGTTCATTGGCGCCTGCCAATCAGAGTGCCGAACGCGAACTCGTTTCGAATACTTTAAACGTAATCAAACTCGTACTAAGGCCGCAGGTTAAACAAATTGTTCCTTCTACTTTCTATCCAATAACACAGTATTTGAAATTGTGTCTATTACATGGACATATGGTTTACCCAATTCGTATTGAACTTGAAAACTTGAAGGACTGTAGTGATGACAAAGAAGAATATAGGGTAGATGTCTAATTTTGATTTCATTGTCCGTCTGGTAGATTATTTTAAATCATTATACACATATTATTTATTTTCTTACAGAAACGAATACTTCCGACGATATATTGATTTGAAACCGATTGCCTCGTTGGCCGAGTGGTCGCAAGTGCGACTGCCGGGTAAAGGTTCTCGGGTTCGATTGCCGGGTCGGGCAAAGTATTACTGGGTTTCTAAAAATTCTCAGTAGTAGCACGGCGTCTGGAATTGTGCCCGGTATATGGAAATAGGCTCAAATTGTGAAAATTGGGTGTTACATTGTACACTGGCATATGTAGGTACACCTCTGCCTACCCCTTCGGTGATAAAAGGTTAATTTCGGGGATTAAAGGTATGTAATTAGTTCAACCCATTTATATGGGACTTAGGACTTGGGACTGTTGTAACCACTAGAAGAAATGATAGCCGTGATAATATGGTTATGTGACTGAAACCTTTCTAAGTACCTACTATACATTGTAATTAAATTACCTTGTTATATTTACGAAATAACAAGTTTGATCGACAGCTTCATTAATAAAGTTCTTCACGCAAAGTATTACATTTTATGATTTCCAAATTATTATTGTACAAGTTGTACAAGTATTAGTATCTACGTAATTTAGATTTATGACTGGTTTAGCCTGGCCTATTACAATTTCAGACAACTACAATCCATAGTGATTAAAATAATGTAATATCACGCCTTTTATGCCCGGGGTAGGCAGAGGTGCACTTTACGGCTCTTAATGCCACTGTGCAATGTAACACCCACTTTTCCTATTTATGTTATGAGTCCCATGCAATAGGAGGTGAGCCTATTGCCATATACCACAATTTCAGTCTCCGTGCGACTACTGAGATTTTTTTTAAATCTCAGTAATGCTTTGCCCGACCCGATAATCGAACCCAAGACCCCTTACGCCGGGTAAGGTCGCACTTGCGACCACTCAGCCAACGAGGCAGCACCATAGTGATTGCGGTAAGTATTATTCTGTTGTTTTTTACAAGCGAAGCAAACACATCGTGTCTGCCTATCAAACAATCTTGAATGCACGTAAATATTCCAATTTACCAATTCAATGCTTTGTCTTGTGGGCATCTATCTAAATCACGGAAGTATGTACTTTTCTGATTATTTTAGTAAGTATTTTCCCAACAGATCTTATTCATCGAGAGTTGACGTGACCAGTCGCAGTTCAGCACGCTAGAACTGTTGACTCCTTAACCGAACAAATCCTTGCAGTAGCCTCGACATAAAGACCCCCTAGAGCCAGGGCAGCAAAAGCAACAAGCTAAATGACATTACTGAGAACACCCCCTATGGGGTCATGCCTCGGCTAAGTAGCCTCATTTTGGGGGGCAGTAAGTAAAGACAGGATAGGTTAGATCAAGCACGACTATCAAATTCGCAAGCATTATGGGACTACTGGGTGAGACTACATAAATGTATGATTTTATCATTCCAGTGAATTTCAACATAATCTTTTGAACATTTTTGTTACATTGTCGTAAAACATTGTTTAGCATTTAGTTAGTAAAACAAAGAAATACAGTGTTAATTAGAAAAGTGCAATACTTCGGAAAGGATCATGTAACTGCGGAAATAATTACGTTTTTGTTAGCAACTTTATTACTAACATTATTAGGTACCAGTATTCATTGAACTCTATCATTACTTCCTTTACGATGAGATTTACTAAGATAACATTGTTTCTTTACCAACATATTAAATCTTTAATACCCTAACAAACTTGATAGACGCCTATAATAAATCATGACATCATGTCAAAGGCCTAACACAAATCAAAAAAGAGTAAAAATCAAACTAAATATTAGTGCCGAAAAGTGAACCTTAGATCATGCACCAACGCAAGCGGTTGTTTGCGCATGATTCGAAACACCTGCCAAGCGGAATCAAGTTCGCAATGCGCAGGAGTGGGCACCGAGTGGACTGAGCCCGTCCATCTCGTCATACCGTCAGCGTCCGACCGGAATGGCGTACACGTGCGTGCGTTCGCTCTTCGTTCTAACTTGTAAGTCTTACACTGTTTAGATGATTAATATCTTTTTAATGTTAAATTATTAACTTTTTTATGATGGTGTTTTTTTTTGTTACTGTGTTTGTGTGTATAATGTGGTCGTTTTGTTACAAAATTGCGTTTTGTCGTTGTGACGATAATGTAGCACTTATTTGAAGTGCTTCAAACATTATCTTCTATTACTAAACTTTCGTTGTGATTTTTTGATAATAATTGAGATTTTATTTATCTGTTAACATTGGGTTTTTCGAAATGGAATTTGGTGGAACCCTTTTTGTTAGGGTGTGTGTAGGTAATATATCATTCTTTTCCAATAATATTACACGACTAACTACAGTAAATAAGAGTACTTTAAATACTCAAATTATTTAATATTGTAATCTCTAAATTAATATGCAAGAGTTATTTTTATTAAATACATAGAATCGACCAAAAAATGTCTATATGTATGTATTTTGACGTCGTTATAGCAACTCTACAGTTTTCTTTTTTTAGTTTCGTTTTGAAACTGGTAATTCAGGTTCATTCAATGAACTTTGACAATGAGTGAATCACATTTTTATTGTTGTCATTTTTATTTAGTTCTCAATGGATATCGGTATTTTAGGGAATACAATACAATACAGTTACAAGCTTGAACTATAAACGTATGTTTATTATTCTATACTCGCATTTATTATGTCATTGAACTCTGTAAGTACATTACAAACGTCTGGAACAATTTTGATGAATTATTTAGTACTATTGATCTACAGATACTTAAGGCTGATTTTTCAATCATCAGTAATTTTTTAACTGTAGAATAAAATTGACATTTGATAGTTTTTATTGTGGAAAGATTGTCAAATATTCAAAATTATTCCTTAGTTTTTATCTGGCGTTGGAAAAATTGGCCCTTGGGTTTTGGGTATTATTAATAATTTTATATTAATGGTGGCGCTGCATTCGAATAAAATATTCCAATTTATTAAGGCGGCTATAAATCTTCTTTTAAAAGTGGTCTGTATCGGGCTATTGACATCAGAAGTAACCAAAATTTACATTTAAATAACAATGTATTGTGCTTATAAGTTATATTGACAAACTTGATCGTAACATTATCTTCTAGAAAACCATAAAATAGAGTTAGTTTTATGGGTGAAAGTAAAACTAATGGGCAATACTAAAAGTCACAACGATCATTAATTGTTTTTCTAAATTGAACTTTAAATTAACTCTGTTTAGAGACGTCTATATCATTGCGGATTAGTAAATCTTTCTCTAGGAAAGACCTCTAGAATTGGCACTCAATTTTATTCTTTATTTTTTTCACAATAGTGTGCATAATTGCAATTCATTCGTCTTCGGAGTAACTCATTTGTTATAATAATTTATTGGACTTCCAACTTTCTATTATAAGAGCAAAATCTAAATAAACCTCCAGAACCATTTCGAATAAAACAAACAACATCGCCTGCAGTGCAGTTATTCAATTTTACACTGTAATCTTATGCAAATAGAGTACAGTTTATTGTTACGCTATATCTAAACGTACTATTTACCAACGGTAGTGTTACGCTTCGTAGTCAGTTATGCTAAGGCATGTAACGTTTGAAACCAATACAAATAGTACACACGAACAATAGTAGCGTTATGTGTAATAAGCGACCTGTATTCAATGTATAGCTAGTATGTCCAGTGTAAGATGGCCTGTTGAGTTAAAGTTGTGGATACTAAGCTTGGGTCTTGTTGTGTTAGTAATGAAAACGTAACTGTCGAAATTGTTGGTGCACCTATCTCTGCTTATCCTTTTGGGGAAAATCAAGATGCTAAGAACAGTGAAATATATTAGATGTTAAAGAATAAACGCAAAAGTTTGCAGGTTCTGGTTCAGAATATGAAATTGAACAACTTTTGTTTTGGCACTACAAATCTATGAAATTCAGATCTTGAGCAAATCTATGAAAAAAAAATATATTCATCATACAAATTAACTTATGAACAAAGGCTTTTATGAAAAGAGTACCTATATATATATTTGTGACATACGAACAAGATCGTACTTACCTACGAAAGTGTTGATTAAGTAATAGGTACATCTATTAGGTACTTACAAACAAGGGAAGATGGTGGTATAGTGGTCACGTGCCGCCGTACACAGAAAGGCTTAAAGGAGAACACCCGTCTCCCTAGGGATGTGTCGTAACAGGCGTTGCACCGTGGAGGCTCTGGAGCAGGTCTCTTTTAGAGGACCCGGTGCCTCCATTCAGATGTTGAGGGTGGTCACCGGGGTGGTTTTAGTCTTTTATCCCCAAAAAGCTAGCCGCCCTTTGAAGGTTTCCCCCCGTCATCAAAAAAAAAAGAAAAGGTACTTACAAAAAACACCGGCCTAAGAGGCATAAGCGCAAGGCCAAGAACTTTCTGGTAATTTTAAACCAAATGTCGTTAACCTCTCCTAACTAGGTACTTACCTACAGTACTAAGGGATTAATTGTTATCCGACACGACAAGAATTTTTATGTTAATTTATACATAATTACATAATAATTCATCAATTAATCAGGTACCACTTCATTACACAATTAATATCTAAGTATATAAATATAAAAATGTATTTCTGTTCGTTAGTCTCGCTAAAACTCGAGAACGGCTGAACCGATTTGGCTAATTTTGGTCTTGAAATGTTTAGAAGTCCAGGGAAGGTTTAACCGCTTGAATGCCTGTATATGAGACACAATAGAAAATACATTGTGTCTAATATTAGGCGGTACGAAGTTTGCCGGGTCAACTAGTACTAAATAAATACTAAACAAATTTATCAGTACATTATTTTTTTAGACCAGCAAAATCCAAAGCTGTTGCAAAACTTGTAGTATCATCATAACATCACGCCTTTTATCCCCAAAGGGGTACGCATAGGTGCACATTACGGCACGTAATGTCACTATACAATGTAACACCCACTTTTCACTATTTATGTTATGAAGTCCCATGTAATAGGGGGTGAGCCTATTGCCATAAACCGGGCACAATTCCAGGCTTCGTGCTACTGTTATGTTTCGTCGTGTGGGTGTAGTTACCGGAGGCCCAATTACCCCATGGGCGACGACGATTGCTTACCATAAGCCTATTAGGTGATACGTGGGGTCGTTTACCGGCTTATCCCATAAAAAAAATTACCGTTTGCCACCTAATGCTTAAAAAAATATTTCTCTCTATAAAGCTAGGTAAATTCTCTCACCTTCTAAAGATGGAATGTTTCACCAATTATCTCATAATACGCTAAGACTTACTGGTATTGTAAACAAATAGTAGGAAACAATCGTGTTTACAATAATCTCGATAATATTTTGAACGTCTATTCAATAATCCGCGGTTAATTTTAAAACATTGCATACATCTGCATAATAGTATTGGAAAATTATCTATGTATAAAAGCCTAATAAAAACTAAGTCTAGTTCTATAATCATCGTGATTTTAACTAGAATCATACCAATTTCTCATTATTTCAAATGAGTAAAAGTAAACTTGATGAGTTTTTCCGAGTTATGGAACCCAAAACGAACAAGGAAAATTGAGGTTTAATAATTTGCAAGGATTAATTTCCTAGTAAGCACTTTCCTAGGAATTCTGGAGAACCTATTTTTACGACGTACAGGTCTTAAACTCCAGTTTCAGTAATTTTATTGCTAGTTACTCAGTCACAAGCAAGGAAATCGATATAATAATCATAATTTTTACGTGTAATAATTACATTGTTTCGGCAGGTGCCATAGTCATCCATAGTTCCCAATTTTCCAGTCCACAGCAACCCATCCATAGCCCTACCCTTTTTTTTCCATTATCCACAATAGTTCTGCACTAACCGGGGACTGTCCTTGGGTGCATTTCCATAGTGCATACAAGGATAGTCGCCGGTTTGTGTGTCCATTACATTTATATTAAAGTTGTCTAAAGGGCCTCTGCGCAGTTGACTTCGGCCCCTCGTACGCCTCCCAAATGACCGGGACCCTGTGGTCCCGTGAATGGTAAAGACATATAATAATATAATAATAATAACATTTATTTATTTCTCTCATCATCATTTACATAATAAAATACAGCAAACGTTTTACAACTAAACCTGAGACTGGTGTCTGTTGTAGGTAAACCCTGTATCACAGATCACCAGGCCATATCCCACTGACGCGATACAACTATTTTCCGAGTTGCATAAAATAATTAGATTTATGTGAATGTAATAATCTATTAAAAATTATAAAAATTAGTTACTGAGAGATAGGTATAGGTCACTAACCTACATATATCGATTATTCTAACATAATATATCGAAAAATAGTTTTCACATTGCATAAAATGTTTTAGTAAACTTACCGCTTTATCAAAGTTAGGCATCAAAACTATTTTTTATGGTTTCAAAGTAAATCTAAAACTACCATTTTAACTCGTCGAGTACCGGTTTTGTAGACACAATTATAGAACAATAGGTTGCGGTCACCGGTGACCGCTTGGTGTTTGACAGTTTAAGCAACAAACAGCCTATGCCGTGTGAACTACTACTAATCGCTAAATGATTCGGATTTTATTAGTTTTATTATTTTTTTATATTATAATTGATATCACTGATGTCGAGTTCAATAAGCACAATACTTACAAAAAATATATGTTATATAAAACAATAAAATATAGGGCAAATGTCTGCAAATTAGATAGGTAATCTATATTCAAAGTCAAAGCATTTATTTCAATTAAACCATAGTTTGGTACTTTTGAAACGTCAACAAATACAAAATAAATAATATTTATAAAAGAAACTCATATAGAAACTCATAGTTTACACTATTTATAACTCTAGAAGAGCTGAACAGTTTTGGCTGAAAAGTGGAGGGGAGATAGCTTATAACTAGGAGACGGACGTTTTTGAAGGATTTTTTTTTTACATTTTACTACAAATCACAAACGAACGGGATTAAAGGGATTTCGCGTACGAAGTCGCGGAGAGAAGCTAGTAGGT